CCAGGTGAGTCTCACCTGCCAGGAGAACTTGGAACTTGTCTGCTGACAGGGACATGGTGACAGGCTGCGCCTCGGCCCCGGGGGCAGACGCCACGTGCAGCTGCAGGTGCACCACGGGCTCTTCCACAGACCGCAGCAGGCTGGAGCTCAGCGTGTAGTCCACCCGCCAGCACACGCCTGCCAGCCTGTTCACTGCAAGGCACAGTGGGGTGGCGCTCAGAGTCCTGGGCAGCCCTGAGCTTTGGCAAGCTCTGCTCCCTCTGAGCCTGCGTCCTCGTTCTCACCAGCAGGGCTGCCATCCCGACCTGGGCTCGGGGCTCAGAGAACAGGTGCTCAGATGGGTCATGGGCTGGGGCTGCGGGGCGCGTGACCAGGGTGCTGTCTCCCCTGAGGACTGACATGGGGAGAGCTGCACGCACTTTCTGAAATGGACCTTGGCCCCCCACCCCACTCACCTCGAAGGCTGCAGGCCCGAAGGTGCTCCTGCAGGGCGCTCTGCTTCTCCTCGTAGCAGCGGCACAGGCTGGCTGCGTGCTCTAAGGGCCGAACGGAGGTCCTCTGAGGCCCAGCCTGGGGCTGCTCGGTGAGCAGCTCTCAGGCCCCCTGCCCAGTCAGCTCGGTGCCCTTCTCAGGGCTGCCCGGCCTAGCCGGCTGCCAGGTCCCCGTACCTTTGGGCAGCCCCAGCTGCTGCAGTTCACTGGACAAGGACTCGCTGTCCACGTTGTGCTTGGCCGCGCTGGAGAGGATGAAACTCAGCACGGCCACCATGGCTTTGACATCACCCGACTCTGAGGAGACCCAGAGGGTGGGGTCACGTGGCTCCAGCTGCCACAATGCTGCCCCTGGGAGATCCAACCCCTCCTCTCCCTTGGCACACCGTCAGGGAAGGCTGCTGGGAGGAGGAGCCCCCGTGCCAGGGCCAGCCTGACGCCGGTGGGCTCAGAGGATACTCACCAAACTTGGTGTCCGCGGTGAGCTTCAGGATCTTCACATACTAGGGGGAAAGTTGCACCTCAGGGGGCCCGGCCCGGCCCTCCCACCCAGCCCCTCCCCTCCTGCCTGCCCTCCCCCAGCCTGGACCCTCTGGCTGGGGCTAAAGAAAAGGCTGGACCCCCGCCTCCCTGGGCCTGGTGCAGAGTCTTGGCGGGTTCCTATACTCACGTCGATCCCCTGCCCCAGGAGCTCCCTCAGCACCTGGCCACACAGCAGGCGGAGCTTCACGGAGGACTGGAAGAGAAGGCCCCACGCAGTCAGACTGGCCAGGGGCGCCCAGAGCACGCTGGCCACACGACCAGGGTCACACAACACGCTGAGAACCCCAAGGGACCCTGCCACCGCCCACCCCCAGAGCCCCATCCACCAGCCCCGTCCCTCCCAGGTAGGGGAGCCCCGTGCACTCAACAATCTTAGCCAGCGTGCTGATCTCTGCCAGGACCCAGTCGGGACAGTCCAGATCACCACAGAAGCGGAACCTCTGTAAGGGGGTGAGGCGGGCGGTCAGGCTGTGTGTGGCCCCCACATGACTGCTCACCAGGAACCCGCCGTCCCTTGACCCCAGTCACATACTCCCTCCTATCATCACCAAGCTGCTTAAAAGAATGCGCCGCTGGACCACTGGCCACTTAGTTCCTGGACGGTGACCTCAGGCCACAGTGGCAGCATCAACACCAAGTGTTCCCAACACCCCCAGCCCTCTACTCCCATGAGCCTCTCCTTCCCCAGTCCTCTTCACTGGCCAACTTGTACCCTCAGCCCACGCTGGCAATCCCGCCCTCACCATTTCAAGGCCCTGCCAGTCGGCGCTAAAGGGCTATCAAAGTGTCTGTGTTTCCAAGGGTGGCCAAGAGTCGCTGCTTATCCCACTGGGGCGTTAAAGAAACCGCCACGCAAGGAGGAGAGCTTACGGTGTCATTTGAAGCTCGCAGGAATGCAGATTTATGATTTGCACTGAGTTCACGGGCCTCCAAACTCTATCCACAGAGCCCTACACACCCGTTTGCTTCCTTGCACCAAATCTTAAAATGCCGACTTTTGCCAGGCTCTGTCCTATGCCCTCTCTCCTCAACCCACATGCTCTGGGGGCAGCTTCGGCATTTTTTTAAAAAGCCATTTTATTGACAGATGCTTCCCGCCCAATACAATTCAGCGGCTTAAGTCTGCTAAAAGAGTCGTGCAGTCATCACCAAATTCTACATACTCAGTGGTCAATCCCCACCCCCCACCCCCTATGACTCTCCACTCCATTGCCCTGGCCCTCGCTCAGGTCACCAGCACCAGCTTCCGGGTGTCTGCTGCCCTGGCTCCATTCCCAGGATATAAATCTTCACAAGAACAGAATGCCTCAACTTTCTTCCCCGAAGTGGCTGGTGGGTTTGAACTGCCAGCCTTGCTGTAAGCAGACCTAGGCTCATGGTATACATTAGGCACTAAAAAAATAGGCTGAGTGAATGAATGAACGGCTGGCACAGCTGGCTGAGTGGAAGCCCCACACACCCATGCTGCCTGGTTGGCTCTGGAAGGCAAGAAGGGGCTTACAATGGTGGGCAAGACTAGGCCTGATTCTAAGCAAGGTTTCCCCAAGGTCCACTGGTGGCTGCAATGGTCTGCACCTGTGGGAGGTCTTCCTAGGGTCACAAGGAAGAGCCTGTTCGGTGTCCAGGCACCAGCAAGCCCCAGGAGAGTGTCCACTACCACCCACCCGAAAGCCTTTCTGCCAAGGCAGCTCGGAGGACTCCCAGCGGGCGGCCTGACTTGCTGGGGCGCAAGGTGGGGTCTGGGGTGCGTGGGTTTGGCGAGAGCTTTGCTCTACAAGGGCCCCCCGGCCTTCCCGCATGACCACCACACCCAAAGGCTGTGTAAGAGGCCAGACAGATGCGCCCCTCTCCTTGATCCCGGGACGCCCCTTACCGCACTCCCACCCTTCCCGGTGCGTTGACAAGGCGGGGCTTTTAGGGACCCTCCTCTGCGTCCTCCCACTGCCACCCACCCCTCCGGCAGCCCTTGCCTCGCAGCACGCCCGCCACCCTCACCATCGCGCGGCGCGGCCCGGGGCCCGGAGCTTCCCGCAGGCCCGCGGTCAGCTGACCCGGCGGTCACGCGGCTCGGGGGCGGGGCCGGGAAGGGGGCGGGGCCCGGGGCCCCGCGGGGGCGGGGCGAGCGGCCTCTGCCCGGAAGTCGCCGCCTTCGAAATGCGCGCTCCGACCCGGGAGACGTCCCGCGACGCGAACGGAAGTCGTCTAATTTGTCCCATTTAAAGGGGCAGGAGCCAGGTCTGGGGTGCAGGTTAATTCCCTTTTGAAGGGGTAGCCATTCAACAATGCACGCACACACACACACACATATAACATATATATGCTCTAGAAAAAGACATATAAGAAAACTTTATTGGCATTTAATACCCGGGATAGAAATCTTAATGGATTTTCATGGCAGTGGTCTACACCCCCTGTACATGAACACATCACCATAGCCCCTGTGTATTAGAGCTTAATTTATGAGTACTAGGTTTGTGAAGGACAAAGGTTTACAGCGAGAGTCTTGAATTCATTTTTGAGTCTCCACATTGATTCAGCTTTCACTGAATTCCTGCTGGCATTAACTAGCCAAGAGAGTCGTTTTGCCCTCAGGCATAGTGTATTTAAGGGGTCCTACTGGCGTGGTAGGAGCCCTGGTGGCGTAGTGGTCATGCATTGGGCCACGATCCGAAAGGTCAGCAGTTCGAAATCACCAGCCAGCTCTGAGGGAGAAAGACGGGGCTCTCTACTCCTGTGAAGAGTTACAGCAGTCCTAGCCTGTCAGTAGGCTTGCTGTGAGTCAGCTTCCAGGCAATGGGAGTGACGGGATACACCTTGGGCTAACTGCAAGGCCAGCAGTTTGAAACCACCGCCAGCCAGCAGGGGGGAAAAAGATGAGACTTTCTACTCCAGTAGAAATACCAGAATTTCTCCATTTTATAGGGTCACTATGAGTTGGGATTGATGGAGGGTGGGGGAGACAGGTTGGGGGGGTGGCTTTTGAGAGAACTTCTGGCTTCACTCAAAGTCATTGCTTTGATTCTGGTTCATAGTACCTTTTGAGTAAGGGCACAGTAGATGTACTCCTGTGGGTTTCCAAGGCTGTAAATCTTTACATCTGTCCTACAAGGAGCCGCTAGTGGTTTTGAACTGGGGAACTTGTGGTTGGCAGCCCAACATGTAGCCCACTATGCTACAGAGATCCTGCCTTTGCTCTAGAGCTACTCAATGTTTCACCTTCCTCCTGTAGCACATCTTAGTGTGCGATGCTACCACTTATCAGGGGTTTTTATTATCTCACTTACCGCTAGCAAAAGGTCCTTGTCATCGGGCCAGAAAGCTCCAGAATCTCATCTAAAGGGGCTACTATCGAAGGGACCCGTCTCTAATGGCTTAGTTTGCATTCCCCGCCAAGCAAAGCCTGAAACACAAATGATGAACTCAACTAGATTTTGAAAGAGGTGATCCCACGAGGAAGGAGAGCCAGAATGCTCCTGAGAGGCAAGGATGGTGAGATTTGGTCTCACGGACCGTGGACACGTTGTCAGGAGAGACCAGGACATCGCGCTTGGTGAAGTAGCAAGGCAGCCAAAGAGAAGAGGAGTGTCAACCAGATGATGGGCACAGTGGCTGCATCGAGGGGCTCGGGCACAAGAGCCATTGTGAGAGCGGCACAGGATCGGGCCGACTCTCCTTCTGTTGTCTGCACATAGGTCGGGCCGCTGAGGTGGAACTGATTTGGTGGGTCCTAACAACAACACTCCTGGGCGATCAGCGTGGGAGAAGAGAGAGCCCACTAAGGTGGGGTTCACCTGGAGGTGACTCTCAGCCTGTTATGACTATGGGTGCTCTGTGCGGTCCGGGAGTCCCTGAGGAACCATGTAAATTAAACTTTAGAATTTCCCTCTAAAGGTAGGAAGTCTATGGCCTCCAATTCCTGGCTTAAGGGAGCTACTTGAGCTGCACGTTCGTCAGCAGAAAGGCGCAAAGCAGGGGAATGACTGTCGTTTGGGGAGACATGTTACCGAACTCCCTCCTGATACTTGCATTAAATGGAAAGGACCCTGTAATGTGGTCACACCCACCTGCAAAGGAGGCTGGGACATCAAGTCTATGTTCTGGACAACTACATGTCCTTGAAAGTCAAGGACACAATTAGTCATAAGAATGGACAAGGATCAGGGTGCGATGTAACAACGATGAGAAATACAACTTTCCTCTAGTTCCTAAATGTTTCCTCCCCACTCCCACTACCATGACTCGAATTCAACCTTGCAAGTCTGGCTAGACCAGAGGATGTACACTGGTACAGATAGGAACTGAAA